ATTGCACCAAATTTAGGTGCAACAAAGTAAGAGTTTTGCAACTTAAAGAGTTTTGTCTAAAACATAAAGGATAACACAAAATCAAGACTAGAGATTCTGATTGGAAATTCAGCTCATTGATTTTAAGAAAAAGTTGAAGTTCGTTACTCAGTACCCAAAATGTAAAAAAACAAATACACTGAGAAAAATTTAATTTTTTTTTCAATATATACGGGAAAAATCTTGCAGATTATGAAAGTAGTGTTAAAGTTCGAGTTACATCGCAAAGTAACCTAAATAAAGAGCGCTAGTTCCCCCTCTCTTCCACAATTTTCAGATTAAGACTGATAGAAATCCGTACATTTTAGGTATGTATATAGTATCTTCAGCAATATTGCACGTAAAAATATGTGGAATATTTTGGTAATAAATTTCAATCCTTGAGCGAGTCAACACAAGGCTATTTTTGGTCCTCTTTTTTTAATATGGTTGAAACTCTCTTTAAATGGGATCATGGCAAATCAAAATATCGTACAAAATTACTTGTTATAAAATTCTACTGTAGGTTCTAGGAAACTTGAAGGTTTTAAATTTTACCTGGACGCTAGGAATACATATATACTAAAGAATAATTTTTAGGTTAAATCCGTACTTTTTGTGAGCTTGTGCAAAAGTCTCTAACAAGTCATTATTTTAGAAAGACGACGTCAAAGACAAACATATTCTTGGTCAAATTTTATTATAAGTGTCTTTGTGCATTTGTTTGTAACAGGCAAAAGCAAACGAGATAGATGATGATCTGCATAGAATCACATTCTGAGTCGTTTTATGCATGTCCGTCCGTCTGTCCATGTATTTTTTGAACAAAATGCAGGTCGCATTTATTATCCGATTGAGATGAAATTTTCCAAACAACATTTGTTTGGCTCAAGGACGAGCCCTATTGAAATTGGAGATAATCGGTAAAAATTAAGATACAGCTCCCATATATATCTTCCTCCGATTTGCCTTTTATTGTGCACCAAACGTGTAATATCAGCCCGAATAGTATGGAATTTTGCAGGTTTGGATATAGCTCCCATATATAACTTCGTCCAATTTACCTTTTATTGTACACCAAACCTCTAATATTTGCCAAATAAAATGGAATATGGCACATACGACCGAATTGAGTCTAGAAGGTAGTATGCAAAATTTGGTGAAGTTCGGTTCAGATATAACTATAGCTCCCATATATATTGTTCATCCGATTTGTTGTATTTGTTACCCACAGCCGTAATATGCACTCCGTAACAACGATATTCAGGGAAATATATCAAATACAGCTCAGAAATATCGTTGTTAAATTTTATCGAGATCGGTTCAGATTTGGAATTAGCTCCCATATATATCATTATCTTATTTCAAATAAATTTTGCACCAAATGGGCAATACAAGTCCGAATTTAAAATATACAAATGCTTCGGCATATTTAGTCCTTTGAACTTTAAATAATAATTATAGTCATAGCTTGTATGATTAAATTCTCCCATAAAACCTAAATTAGCAAAGTGGTGTAGGGTATCATAAAGTCGGCCCCGCCCGACTTTAGGACTTTCTTTACTGGTTTACTTGTTTATTTATCCAAAACAAAAGTTCTTTAACCATGAGATATCTCCGAAAAATTTTCCATTCTATATGAGAACAACCGCTACACACCCATGAAAAGGCAGACTACATACACTCTTTTAAATTTGCATAAAATATAGGCTACTTTCATTCTCAATGTTACATTTTTCTTAGTATTTAATTTAACACTGCATTTTGTGCGTACCTTCGTATGTATGTGTGAAGTGCTTATTGTTCTTTGGAACGTTAGGAAAATACATCAGAATATTTCACGGATAACGGCAAACCAGGCAAGCTAAGCAAGTCCAGGCCATTTATTTATGTTTACTCTAAGAGTGAATGTGAATATATATATATACCAGACTGTGTGTAACCATGTGTTACATTTTTGTACTATATATGTACATACGTAAAATTTTTGTACTACGTAGTTTACAGATGTCGGAATGCTCTTCAACAGAGATTTGGTAATGTTGCCTTTTATATTGCCATACATTATTGTTGGTATTGCCAAAATGTAATGGTTGGAATAAATTTCTTAACGCTTAGTACTATTTAGTTCATCGAAAAATATTTACTCTTGTATGTACATGAAAATACAAATGTGGGCCAGTATGTGGACTTTCAATTTACAACAGGAGGGATTATTTACAATTTATTATAATAAGTATATACAATTTGTACAGAAGAATGAATGAAATATCTTGTGCAAATAATATGTATTATGGAATGCATAATATAGATTTGGATGATGGATTTCGGATAAAACATATACAGGGTGAAATGAAAAAACTGCAACCAAATTCAGACTGCTGTCATTTCTAAGCCACTCGTCCGACAGCTGTTAAAATTATTCCAGTGACAGCTCATTATATTATTTACATGCGTACAAAAAGCATTTTAGTGAAAATTCTCCAGAAAAAAAGTTATTCGTGATGGAATTCAAGCGTGGTACTACAAGTGGCTATCGTTAGAACACTCCAGCATTTAAATGTGAGTAAATCTTTTGTGTCTCGTACTATCGCTCGTTACCGTGATACTAGTAGCATAGCCCGACGTCAAGGAAGTGGATAGAAGAATACAGCGATATCAGCAGAAATGGTTCAAAAAGGAAAGAAGCGAAGTCGCAGTGGCCGGAAAATGGCTCGTGAGCTGAACATATCGCAATATACCATTCGACAAATATTTAAAAATGTGCTCGGGGTAAAGCCATTGAAATTCCAAAAAGTGCAAGAACTCACACAGCAACAGAAAGAAAATAGGCTCGAAACAGCTAAAGAGTTGCTTCACTTGGCCGAAAGTGGTGAACTCTCGAATTTGGTTTTCTCCGTCTCCGATGAGAAAACATTCAATGTCCAGCAGTTTGTAAACAAACAAAATTATAGTGTTTACTTGCCAAAGAGGTCAGCTGAAAATGTGCACCTTCGGTTCGCACTCAAGGCCAGAACTCAAGCGCCGGTCATGGTGATGGTGTGGGCCGCGATAACAGCTTATGGTCGCTCTCCGCTCGTATTAATTGACCGTGTCATCAGAATTTATTGCGAATGTTATCGCGAAAATATTCTGGAGGGTGTATTCAAGCCTTGGACACTCAAACATTTTGGCCGCAGACCTTGGACATTCCAACAGGACTCATCACCATCGAACTCAGAACTCGCCACCGCCACCTAAGAATGGTTGCAAAATGAGGTTCCTCGCTTCATTTCTAGCGCACAATGGCCACCAAAATCTCCGGATAACAATCCGTTGGACGATTGTGTCTGGAGTATTTTGAAAAGCAAGGATGGCAATAAAAACTACAAAAGTGTCTATCACCTCAAGCAAGCGCTTCGCCGGGAATGGGCCAAAATACCGCAGAGGAACATTCGGGCAGCGTGTGTCAGTTTCATTGGCCGTTTGAAGGCCATAATTCGTGTCAATGATGAACAATTCGAACAAATCGAAACTTATTCTAAAATTTGATGGTATTGCTGACATTTTTGTTTTCATTCAATAAAATTTAAAAAAAAAAATGTGAAAATTATGACCTTTGACTTTGTAGCAGTTTTTTATCTCGCCGTATGAACGCGTAACCCTGACCTTCACATTGATGCTGATTTTTTTGACAAATATAATCACATATCGGGGATACTGGAAGTCATATAGAAGTATATACCTTAATTTCCAAATATTCTTTTGAATACCCATTAACACTAAATAGGACGTAAATATAGAGCGTATGCTACGAAGATTTACAAAAGCCTAGATACAACTTTTGCAGGATATCAATGTTATTTCAAAAATGAAAACTAAATGTTAAATGTATATGGGAAAAAAATAAATGTAAAAATTTGGGTGTCTGAAAACAAGTAAAAAAGCTGTAGGTTCAGCCGGGCCGAAATTTGAATACCCTCCACCATTTGGAACGAATTAATTAATTCAAAAAAATAAAATCCGTTAAAAATTCTGTTAAAATCTTAAAAATACCGAATATAGCTATATTGGGGTCTAAACTAAGACGTGGACCTGCATAGGCAAATTTGGTCGTAAGCCATTACAATATTTTAATGCGAAACTTGAAAAAAATTGGTGAATAATGTAGCTCATTCCGAATATAGGGAGGGATTGTATGGTGGATGTACGAAGACGTGAATCTGCACAGACAATTATTTGTCTTAGGCTGTAGTATCCATTACGAACTTCAAATACTAGATTTGTAATAATTCCGGAGAAAAATGTCGCTAAAATCATCAAACTACCAAATATCGGAGTGTGGCGTTTTATGGGGGCTATACCAAGGCGTGGACCTGCACGTACAATTTTCTGTCATAGGCTGTAGTATCCATTACGATCTTCAAATACCAAATTTGAAACAATTCCGGTGAATAATGTCGCTTAAATAACAAAAATACCGAAAATAGGGATGTACCAGAACGTGGACCTACATTTCAATACCAAAAGTCCTGCAGACATACTATACATTTGAGTAAAATTTTAAACCTACTTCATTTCATTCGGAAGCTCGAGTGGTTTCCACAGACGGATGGACATCTCTAAATCAACATAAAATTTTATTTTATGCTGATCAAGAATATATACTTTTTGAGGTCTAAAATGTACATTTCGAGATGTTACAAACGGAATGAAAAAGTTTAATATACCCTCCATACTATGGTGAAGGTTATAAAAGGGGCAAATTAATATTTGTAATAGATATGAGGATGTCTTTTAGTGGAATCTTAATTCTAATAAAAAGGGTGTCAGATCTGTAGCAACTTTTCCGCAAATTGTAGTATTGTAGGGTATCAAATTTTTTGCCTGGCCTGAATATAGTCTTTGTTTACATGTTATAATCAAATTTAATATTCTTATTTAATGTACGGTACATTATATACTTAATTTATTAATTCTTTATTTTTTTCCATTCCTTGCAGATAATATAAAACAGCGTTGCGTGTCACCAGCTCCAACCGCAAGCTCTAGTAATCGATTACATGGTAAACATGTAATTGTGGCCAAGACCGCACATGACCGCCAACAGCAACTTTCCATTATGCGTTCTGTCTCTTCCCATTCATTCAAATGCAACAGCAGAATTAACGCCGACAGCATCGTCCTCATGTCAGACACTCAATGCGTTCTCTACAATATTTCCAAGGCAACTTCAACTGACACATCAGTCGTTGGCGATGGCAACATTTGCACATCGGCAACCACCTTAGATGTTAACAAATGATAACGTCGCCGTCGGAGGTATGACAGAAAAGCGTAATATGTATAGGTTGCCAATTTCAGGCATAACTCGACATTCGAAGGTAAGAAATGTGTTACTGAATAATATGCGCGAGTATGTGGGTGTATAAATGTGAACTTTAAGTTTTAATATATTAAAAAATAAATTTAAATAAAAATGTGAAAATTAATTAACTCAAATTATATCAAAGCTGTGACTCTATTCTATATTTTTTAAAAACTTTACTTATTGTTTATTTTTCAAAAACTTTATTTTATTTTTTTTTTGTTTTTGTTATAATAAGAAATTAAATTATAATAGCTTTTCAATCAATAAAAACAACAGAATAGTGTTAAGGAAGGATAGCATTTAGTTTCCATTTTAAAATGCCAAAATTTATTTATAATATTTTAATAAAAATATTCATTATTTAAAGATTAGTTTTGGAATAAATAATGCTTATATAAAAAAATTATTACAAATTGTTTTGATTTAAGTTACATGTTTTTGAAGAATTTAAATAAAAGTTACTAGTTATCAGCAAATAACCAATATATTCTCACATTCTCCTCTCTTTACTTTTAGATTAGATATAGCCAGCATACATGGCTTCTGGCATTTTTATGCCGGATCAATTTGGCAATAAATTTCAAAGAAATGAGGTTCGAATGTATCAAAGGCTGTTTATTAAACTGCAATGAACGTATGAACGTACAGTGAGTCACCTTTAATAATGGATTGTTGAGTGCCAATGCCAAATGTCTCTTTTAGGAATTTGACAGATGAAGAAGAATATAATAATGGGATCAAGCCTAACTATTTTGCAACAATATTTTCCTATTTATTTGATTTTATTAATGTATTCAAACTAAAATAAAAATTAAGAAAGAGTTTTTTTACATATATCAAAGTATTTTATTTAATTAAACGGTAAACTAAGACAATTGACACCTCGCCGCCTAAGCGAGACGATTGAATCTTTGGGGTTGTAGAAGGTGGGATAAATATATTAATAAGCACGTGGTGTGACAGAGAAGTGTAAAGGAGTAAGATGACTTGAAATTTTGGGAACATCACATTTCAATGGTAATAAGAGGTAGAAATTTATACAACATTGCAAATAAGGAAAGAACCGAATTTTGATATACAGGGTGAGATGAAACAAGTAAGCAAAGGCTATAGTCGTGCGGGGCCGACCATGTGATACCCTACAACACTACAATATGTTCGAAGTTCCCTTATATCCAAATCCATTTTGGAAGATTTCGTTTTTGAAATAATGTCAAAGAGCTCCGCCCAGGGGTTACCCTAAGGTTTTTGACCCGAAGAATTTGACCAATATTTACGCACTCCGTAGTGTTGTTAAGTATTCAAAACAATTTCACACGAAAGTTGTGGTCCATTTTACACCTAAATGTAATCCAATGGTCATTTAAAATTCTAGATTTCTTCCCTGTCCTTAACTCTCTTCTGTTGCGAAATTCCGAGTCGATTAGTTTGCAATTGTGACCTATAGAGCGACTAAAAAATTAGCAAAATTTAATTGTTTTTAGCCATTTAAACCTCTAAATGTACATCCTAAGAACAGTAGGCTTCAATTCCGATCCTAACCGCATGCAAAATTTCATGAGGATCGAACGATAATTGCGACGTAGATGTAATACACTCAAAACGTAGCGTTGGGAGATGTAAAAATTTGGAAAATTTAATTTCAAAATTGTAATTCAAATTGAAAAAATTGCATGCGATAAAAAATATGAGAGAAATGGAAATCCCGCGATATTCTTAGATTTTATCCTTTTCTGGCAAGAGACTATTCTGAATTGATGGGAATTGTGAAAATCGGCCCAGCGATTCTTGATTTATAAGCAGAATAAATAAGATCCATTTGTTTACATATATATTGTACCTAATTTGATATATATCCGATTTCTTGGTTACTAGCATCACTTAGTGGTCAGAAGTGATCTTTTAATGTATTTGTGATTTGGCTGGGATAAAAATAATCGCGGTTTAGTGGAAATTTTCCTATTTTCTAACATGAAAGTTAGAGTATATTTTACCCGCTAATTATTGTCCGATTGCAGCCCACATTAGTAGGTTTCTGCCCAGTCCAAAACTCTAACTCCATGTAAATTTTCGCGTCGATTGGTTCATAATTGTGGCCTATAGAGCAACTGCAAAATCAGGAAAATTTTCTGTTTTTGGTCCATTTCAACCCGTAAATATCGTTCGATCATCTCCAAAAATAATAGGGTTCTATTCTGACCCTAACCCCACCTCCATTTTCAATTTCGGTTCATAATTGCTTGATTACAAATTAACATGGACAGACGGACGGACGGACATACATAGCTAGATCGACTCAGCTCGGCGAGATAGGAAGATCCGTATATACTTTCCTATGTGGACTTAGCAACATCGCACTCAGCACGCGCCGCCTAAGAATGGTTTCAAAATGAGGTTCCTCGCCTCAGTTGCAGCGCACAATGGCCACCAAAATTGACTGTTGTGTTTGGACTATTTTGAAAAGCAAGGTGGGAACTAAAAAATACCAAAGTGTCGATCATCTCAAGCAAGCGCTTCGCCTAAAATGGGCCAAAATACCGCAGAGCAGTATTCGGGCAGCGTGTGACGGTTTCATTGGCCGTTTGAATGCCATAATTCGTGACAAATGTGACCAATTTGAACAAATTTAAACTTATTGTAAAATTTGATGCTATTTCCGGTATTTTTACTTCAATTTAATAAAACTTAAAAAAAATGTAAAAATTATGGAGTTTGACTTTGTTGCAGTTTTTCAGTTGACTTTTTGCAGTTTTTCAGCTCACCCTGTAAGACCTCTGTGGTCATATTGCTAAGGCTTTAATAACAATATTCAGATTGGGCATACCAAGGTGTTCTGAAATATAGAATATGCAATTCTCTGCTCCTTTAAGCCTAAATTTTTATTGACTTGAAAATGAGTTCATTTTCTATTTAATTGCAAATGTCATTGAACCAGGATTATAAATTTTCCGTTTTATAAATTATCCTCCCTTTTTATTTCTGAAAATAAATGCTTTCAAGTTTCTTTTTCTCATGGACTTTAATTCAATTAGGCATCTTAAGGGCATTACCCGGCTTGCTAGCCTTATGCTATTTCTGCTTGCAAAATTTCCAAATTATTAGTCCTTATTTGAATTTAATTATTAACCTTATAAATATTTATAAATTCTCTTTTAAACTCATGCCGAGTGAATTATTGAAAGAAAAAGGGTCCATTTGAATTGCATTTCATCTCTCCCCCTTGCAAAGTATTCGGAATGTAAATGTTTATTTAAAATATAGAATATTTAATTTATTAAGACAGAGATTTTTTCCGCTCTTAACCTTTAACATTGCCTTGTGCGACAAGGATTATTAGCCCTCCACCCAATTAATCAATTTCCATCAACACGGGAATGGGTAAACATAACATTTTCGCTTCGCAAAATATTTCGTTGTTCCATTTTTTTTTTTTTTTTTTGGGATGGCAAAAGTTTAGCGCAAGCAATTTGATGCGACATTTCGTTCGTTTGGAAAAATGTTTTCAGCAACAATGTTGGCTAAAAGATGCTCAAATATTTCGCTGACTTGCTGTGTGTGGAGAATGAAGAAGAAATATTTTGTTACGAGTATTTAATGTCTTCAATGTTATCATGCACGTGCCTGCCAATAAATTAGGTATATTATGTTCATTCTTTAAATTCTGTTGAATAATAAATAAAGTTTTAAAGCTTTTTAAATGTCATGGAAAAAACAATGCGGAAGTAGTAGTAGGAACAACACCTTCCAAATTTCCACGAAGACAATGAGCTTATGGAATGGATGGAAAAATGTAGACAGACAATTACCGTCGTTGAATCAGGGCGATTGGGAGTTATACAGGGTGAGATAAAAAACTGCAACAAAGACTAACGCCATATTTTTATTTATTTTTTTTTTTTTTCTTTAATTTTATTGAGTGAAATAGCATCAAATTTTACAATAAGCTTAGATTTGTTAGAATTGATCACCTTTGGCACGAATTATGGTCTTCAAACGGCAAAGGGAACCGTCACCCCGAATGATCCTCTGCGGTATTTTGGCCCATTCCCGGCAAGGAGCTTGCTTGAAGTGATCGACACTTTGGTATTTTTGTGCCAACTTTGCTTTTCAAAATACTCCAGACACAATAGTCCAACGGATTGGTATCCGGAGATTTTGGTGGCCATTGTGTGCCGGAAATGAAGCGAGGAACCTGATTTTGTAACCATTTTGGGTGGCGCGTGCTGGGTCTTGTTGGAATGTCCAGCGGCCAAAATGTTTGCGTGTCCTTCAGAATATTTTCGCTATAATATTCGGCATTTATTCTGATGCGATTCTATTAATACGAGCGGAGAGCGACCATCGGCTGTTATGCCAGCCCACACCATCACAATGGCCGGCGCTTGAGTTCTGCTGACCAACCGAAGGCTAACATTTTCAGCTGACCTCTTTGGCAAGTAAACACGATCATTTTGTTTGTTTACAAACTGCTGGACAACGAATGTTTTCTCATCGGAGAAATCCACAATTCGGCAGTTCACATCTTTCGGCCAAGCGAAGCCACTCTTTAGCTCTTTTGAGTCTAGTTTCTTTCTGTAACGGTGTAAGTTCTTGTAATTTTTGGAATTTCGATGGCTTTACCCCGAGCTCATGTTTCAATATTTGCCGAATTGAATATTGCGATATGTTCAGCTCACAAGCCAGCTTCGGCCACTGCGACGCTTTGCTTTACTTCTTACTTTTCGAACCATTTCTGCTGATGTTGCTGTTTTCTTCCGTCCACTTGCTTGACGTCGGGCTACGCTACCAGTATCACGGCAACGAGTGATGGTACGAGACACAAAAGATTTATTAATTTTAACAGCTGTCGGACGAGTGGCTTGGAAATGACACTAGTCTGAACTTGGTGGCAGTTTTTTCATCTCACCCTGTAAATATTATACATAAAATATTCAATATTCGGAATATGCGTAAGATACCAGATATAATACTGATAAAAATATTGGTAGGTACAAACTTTACAGGAAATCGAACATTCATTCATTCATTCTATTCAAATCTTTGACGTTTTGTGGGGAAGGTACCTGGTGGAATGGTCTGATATCTACCATCTTTATAACATATTTTGTGCTGATAGAAATATTGACATGTGGTTAGTCTGTATGGAATCGGGTGTGAATTTCGCGTTTAATGAGCTGCATGACTACTCAAATTGTTGACCCTTTGTGGGGAAGGTAGCAGAAACAGTGGACCTATATACTCTATTTTTAAACCATATCTTGGGTTTATGAAAATATTAGGATTTGTGAGGAGGTACTTGTGGGGTAGGTACTTTACGGAGTGGGCCGATATTGTCCATTTTCGCACATGACCTATCACAGACGCAATTATTAATATTTACAAAGTTGGAGAAAAATCGGATTATTATTTTTTTTTTCTGTACAGAAAATATATTTTTTTAAATTCGAACTTTTCTGGAACAGGCACCCCAAGGAATGAACCGATAATTCCCATCTCCGAACGCAATCTAAGAGTGACAAAAATATTACGATGTACCAAGTTTGGACCAAATTGGTTATGCCCTTAGAGAGTTATCGTGCGCACCAACCAGCCAGACACACAGACAGACGGACATCGCTAGATCCATTCCAAATGTACTGAAACGGATTTGGTCCAAAGAGATCTAGGGTCTAAAACCATTATTTCGACTAGGCACGTTTTGACAATATCAAATGATATATACCTTCTCTAGCCATATAGATGAGGGTATAAA